TAAAAAAAAAAACCTTGGGGTTAATTTATTCAGATGAAAAATTATAGATGTAAGTTGAAGCACGATGTTTTGCTCCTGTGATTAAAGGGCTAATTTAAGTTGAACATTTCACCACTAAATGATTTTTGCGTAAATAAAATTTATATTGCACTTACAGTGGCTGAAGAATAAGTCAACTGAAAACTTAAATTAATATTACAAATAAAGGTTATTACACTCTTCAATTTGGGTTGAAGAGACGGGCAAATATATATTTGCGGGCGACGAAGGAGCCCGCCACCTATTCTTGGTCAGCGACACTTTTTTAGCCGTTTTTGTTCTCGATCCGGGGAGCTTACCATTTGACAGAAAATTTCGGAAATTCCGGCTGGAAGGTAAATGGTAAGGTCACTTTTCGGAATTTCTAACCGAAAATTGTGGAGTACGTTTTGAGGTAGTCCTTTCATTCCGGCTGGTACGAACCAAACGGAATGTTACTTACCATTAACCAATTTCTCGGTTCCTTCTCGGTTCTAGACTCACGCTTCAAAATTCGCCTTTTTTGGAATCAAACCGTAAAGCTAAGGATGTGGCATTTCTACAGTAAACTGGTAAATCGCTTACCACTATGCTTTCGACACCCGGCCCAACCGGATTTTTCTGTCAAATGGTAAGCACCCCTGTTCACATTCCGTTCACATTCCTATGTTGTAACGACTAATATGCATGGTATGTGAGGCAAGCCAACAAGGCTCTGATGTCAAGTTCAAGGTCCTCTCGTGAATATGAATAGTCGCTCTTTTCACGATGCAAGGTCAGCTTTTTTCAAAGTGCTGACACTGCGTCTGCAAGGTCAGCTTTTTTCAAGGTGTTGACGCTGCGTATCGCTGCATGAGGCGAACTTTGAGACCTACAAGAAGAAAAGCGAGTATTCGGAAATGTGAGCTTAGATTTATTGCACATCAAGTGATTTAACAATCATTAATACACATTCGTTTCCGAAGCACACGTAATTCAGGTAAACAAGTATTACACTAAATGGGCGACTTTTCGATTCTCCTTGCTGGCCTGGAATCCGATTATTTACCCTGGAAGATAAAAGTAGAGCCTGATCTCGGCTTAGCGCGGGACAAGTTTTCGGTGAGACGCGAGGGCTAGCAAAGTTTAGAAATCGATGTAAATTTTTCGTCTGTTCGGATTTCCTAGCTGAAAGGGTAGTGATCCGAAAATTATAGGGATCAAAACTTACTTTTTCGAAAATTTCAGCCAGAAAAAAGGCTCCCGAAAGTTCTAGGTGACCTTTTTAGAGTAAAAATCAAAGGGCCTCAGGACTTTTGTAAAAATATAAGGCCCGGTGGGAATGCCGAATGGCAAAACGGTAAATTTATAAAATCGAATAACCTCATCCTTAGACCAGGAAAAGCATGAAAACTCTTGGTCTGGGGGAAAAATGTCAATATGATGATAACCAGATTTGATATTTAAGGAAAATAGCCAATTCTTGGAACATTCGACAAAGGAATAAAGCATGGTTTTGGCGTCCTCCAATTTAATCTTGGATTTCTTGACAAATTGATTTGGATATCGTAAGTCTAATATGAGTCTTTTCTTACCATTAGCCTGAATGGAAACTGATAGGGGGTTCACCACAGTAGCGGCACACCCACATTCAACCACTGAGCGTGCTATAATAACCCTTTGTGTCGTTTACCATTTAACAGCTAACGGACAACCCGAGAACGTTGTTCTCTCCAACCACATCCGATCAGATTTAGACAGGCTACGCAGTTATGAAACAACCTAATGCACTGGTGGTGATTGCCGGGGATTTTAACCCTACTTCGACGGGCCTCAAATTAAAGGACTTGGCGCAATTTAAACAAATCGTAAAATTTAACACCAGAGATACAGGAACCCTGGACTGGTTTCTTACGAATAGGTCTGCTATTTTTCAATTGTTTTCAACTACCTAATTAAGATAGCAAGGAGTCATGGAAGGGTTTGCGCGCAGCCGGCTCGTGGCGCGAATTTCGAAAAAACTTGATCCACGCCAGTACGCAAGGGAGGGGCACTCAACCACGGACGCCTTGATTTATATCCTACAGGCGATTCACGAGGCAACTGATCGTGTGAATTGTGGGGCTAGAATGTTCTTTGCCGATTACTCAAAGGGTTTTGACCTGATTGACCATTCAATTCTTCTCAGGGAGTTGGCGTTTTTCGATATAGACACTGTCTTAATTAACTGGATTAGGGTCCTCCTGACTGGGAGATCGCAAGCTGTAAGGATTGAAAACTCTCTGTCTGACTGGAAGTAACCCAAGGGAGGTATCCCGCAAGGGACGAAACTGGTTGTGATTTTGTTTGCTGTGATGACCAACAATCTCTTGCGTGACTGGCATTTGAGGATTAAATTCGTTGATGATACCACGGCATTAGAAATCCTGCCAAGGAATGGTATTAGCTTGCTAAATGTAGCTGTCAATAACATTCACTAGTTTCTATCGAACATAATGTGAAATTAATTCGAAAAAGTGCAAAGAAATATTGATTAACTTCATGCAAAATGATAATTTTACTACAAGACCAATTGTCCTGGGTAACAACACAGTTAAATGTGTAACAACTTATAATTTACTCGGTATTATTATCAGTAATGACTTAAAGTGGAACAAGTATATTGATTACATATCGAAAAAAGCTTCGAAACGCCTGTATTCCTGTATTCCCTGAGGATTCTTAAAAAAAGTGGGTGTTAATAGGGAGGGACTTCGCAAAGTTTAGTTGACAACAATAAGACCTGTACTAGAATATGTCGTGCAGGTCTGGCAAGATATTCCTGAATTTCTTTCGCTGGAGTCAATTCAAAAAAGGGCACTATATATTATCTATCCATGCCATAGTTACTTAGATGCCCTTAATAACCAACCTTAGCTGTAAATAAATTCAGAAGATGACTCAAAATGACCACCCCATTAACTTCCTCGATCAAGCCGAGAACAACAACTAGTGGTCATAATTATAACTTGCTGGCCAGCGACAACAATAGAAATATTGTTTACGCTGATAGGAGTTGTTGCCGGACCCAGCGTTCGGGTTCCTTTATTTCATTCGCTAGTAAATATGTGAATATGTAAATAATTATTTAAGATATTTTTATTGTTCTATAATGGTAGTAGTGTCAATTATTTATTGATTGTTAATTTATAGCCCTTTAATTCAGTTAATTCTGCATTGTGACAAAAAAACGGTATATTTATTTTCATTTCTTTTTAAGATCAGAAATAATAGCTTGCTCCACAATTTCACTATGCTGAATGGTAGATCGATTATTGCCAAAGCTCGCTGTGGGTGGAGTGTAAATAAAGGGGATTTTATACCCATCGACAATACTACCGCGAATGAAACTAGAAGTACCTATATGCTCCCAAAAGGCTACATTACGCTCAAGAGTACATCTAACCTTAACAATAGGCACTCCTCCTGATATTCGGGACTCATTACATCACTAGATAAATCAGCCGCATCAACAAAGTTCTCGACAAGTTCCACTGGATCAAAGTCACTGCAAAGTCATTTAAACTTGTAACTAAATTCACTAAATTATACTCATCTTTTCCTAATCTCTGAAATGCAACTTTCTATTTGTCGTCAGTTTGCGACCTTGCTGCTTGAAGGGACTGCAACGGTTCCTTTAAGGCAGCTGGGGCAGGAGGCTGAATTTGCCCAATGACCTCTCTGACCACAACTGAAGCACTTGTCCGAAGGTTGAGGTCGACGCTGGCGAAAGGACTGTCCAGGAAAAAGCTGCTGATTAACGGCAAGAGTATTGGAAGGCCCAGCAGAAGAAACTACATCCGATGGCTGACGGGTACTTTTATAGTTAGGTCGGGCAGACGAATTCCTACGCTTCTTCTCGCGGATCTTGGCCAATGCCCGTCTTTCGGCAGAAGCCTCTTTTCATCCCCAGAATCCTCCGCCAACTCATCTGATTCGTACCCTTGAACGCCTGTTCGGCCCGCGGGACTCTTCACTCCGCCCCCGCCCATCGCGCATAATGTATATTGTTCTAGGGACATTTCGTTCCAGTTCAACAAAGATTGTAGATCAAGCGTTATTATGCGTAGACGTTATGAAAGCGCTTCAACGATTGGTTGCCTTGAATGCACTCGGATGCTCATTAATATGAAGTAGGTGGCAAACTACAAAGAAGGCAGTTCGCTATCGTTTCTCCTTTAATTTGCAAATCGCACATATGCGCATATTTAGCAGCGAACATTTTAAAAGCTCACTTTTGCTGTATTGTATGGGCTGTTTATTTGGTAAAAAAGTTAACAGCCAATTTGCATAAACACTCCATTGACAGATGACTGAATTTAGTTTATAACAAAGGAGTTTAGCTACTCTATGTTTATTCATTGTTATTCATTGTTATACTGTAAGACAAAGACTTGACTCTGAACACGCGCGAATTTTGAATCCGGCTTTTTAACGGTAATAGTCTACAACTTCTTCTGCTAAAATTTAGGCGAAAAAGCGGTCAATGTGTAGGGGAGATGTGCATCTTCGATAATCCGTTGTTTTGTACAGAGTTTTCGCTTATTTCGACAAAAAAATCCAAACTGAATTTTAATGTAGTCTTATCACTCATACTAGAAACACCGAAAAACAGAGTTTTAAAAGCGAAAAGTCTACAAGTTAATTTCGTTGAATTTCCCTTTTTTTACGTAACGTTCAAGATTTTTAGCCCTTTTACTACAAAAAGCCGCTGTTTTACCTAAAAAAGGTAGACTATGAGTATTTTAAAATGCCGATTTTAGTGAATGATCTTCGCCAAATTCCTTCATTTTCTCTCTTATTCTAGCATTTTCGTGGGGCGTTCATGCTTGAATAGCCCGCCACGGGAGCTCATTATTATGCGTAAACGTCTAGCCATTCTGCTCGATCTGATCGGCATTCTGCAAAGCGAATAATCTTGTTTCGTTCCGTAATAAGTGTCTTTACCGATTCAAGTTCGGAAA